CATTGTCTTCTACACTTGTCTAAAGATGTAAAATGGGCATAGGTGTGGGGGATAAAGGTGCAAATTATTTGTTTCAGTGAAAATTCCTCTAATTTCTCTGTCAGGAGTTACCCTTCTCCCCCCCCCCCCTCCACAAACACATACTCAGTCTTAGTGAGTGCAAAATTGTTTCAAATGAAATTATTACTGTACTACTGTATACCATCACAATGGGAAGCTCAGCTCAGTGATGCTTTTGAAGTGGAAGTGAAGACAGGAGTGAAACAAGGTTGTCTACTATCCACCATCATATTCCTGATTGTGTTGTGGTCGACTGGATCATGCAGAAAACAACGGTGGGGAGCGAGAAGAAGAGGATACACTGGCTGGACTGCGGAAAAGAACCTACAAGATCTGGATTTCGCCAGTGATGACTTGTGCCTGATGTCACACAGACTTGAAGATGTATAGGCGAAAACTAACAAGTTGGTAGAAGAGGTGAGGCAGCGAAGGAATATGGGACTTCAAGTGAATATAGAGAAGACAGAGATGATGAAGATACCGCACCACCAACAACAACAACGACAACAAACTCCAAACTTCACCTATCTACGAAGCACTGTTTCAACTACAGGTGGCGGCACAGGCATAGACGCGGATGTCAAAGTCAGAATCGGAAAAGCAAGACAGGCGTTCATTAGCCTGAAACCAGTGTAGAGATCTTCTGCACTGCACTCAGCATCTGGAACAAGATCTAGATTTTCAACATCAACGTCGAGTCAGTGCTTCAATGTGATTGTTGAGAGACTTGGCGCGTTATGAAAGGGATTTCCAACAAACTGTAGACATTCATCAACAACTGCCACCTACGCTGGCTCGTTACTGAAGATCAGATGGATTGCCAGAAGGAATCAGCAACAAGGAACTCTGGGAACGAACCAACGATGCAAGAACCTATCGGTCAACAAATATGCAGTGTAAGAAAGTGGATATGGATTGGGCATACACTGAGAAGGCCGACTGGGGACATCACGCGTCAGGCCAAGCACTCCAGTGGAATCCCCATGGGAAGCGACGAGTTGGGCGTCCGAGGCGAGGGTGACATGGAGGAGATGGTGCGAGTAGGAAATGAGAGGTTGTGGGCTGTCGTGGAACCAGGTTGAAAAGATCTCAGAGAACAGAGTTCACTGGAGACGTGCTACTGAAGCGGTATGTTCCATTAGGAACCCTAGGGACTAATAGTAATAATAATGATAAACTGTATACCATTGTGATCATGCAAACAGTTTCAGTCATCAATATCATTTCTTCTTGGTAACCACCTGATAAAGTATCTATTGTAGAATATTCGAGATTTGACTGAATGTTTTGCCATAAAAAAAGGTTTTGTACATGCTTGCAGAACTGTATAGAATTGTTATTCATCAGTAAAGAATGATAAAACCGTCATCTACACTTGTCTTCTTGATAAATGGAAGGATGTAGTTGATTGTGGAATGTTATTCTGCCTTGTTGTTCATTCTCCTGTATCGAAGAAATACACAAACTGAATCTAGGAACGATATTTCGTTGTATACATTACTAAATAATATGCTTGCATAAGAATTTGTAAATCACACCAATTCTGTAATTACAAGTTATAGGGTCTGGAGAAATAAAGTATACCCCCATGATATCCCTTACAATGCATTCTTGAGTAAAAGCTTCAATTAGCATATTCATGAGTGAACATGCAGTAGATTTTAGGTTGTGGAATATCCAAGTCAACTTATCATAATCACCTAGCTCAGATTTATTGTTGTAATCCTGTAGGTGGCTTCTGAGTGTGTCATTGAATTCAGTAACCCCTATACAGAATAAGGTTGAGTACTTATATTCTCCATGATAAGTTATATAGTTTCGGTATACAATGTGTGGTTTCGATGATGTTGGTGTAATTTTGTTCTAAAAGAACACCTTGTAGACGGTAAGCAAATGATATGCACATAACACATAAGGTGATGTATATGAGGAAAAATTTGGGATAGTCCAGACGCAATAGCAGGACAGTCATCTGTGTTATAAAAGCAACCACTCAATGATATCTTCCAATAAATCTCAAGAATTCATCATTCAGTTCTGATGTCTCTCTGCTAATGAAAACGAAAGCTATTTGAACAGCTATGAAGTTGATGTCAACAGCTATGAAATCGTAGAGAAAAAGGTTCTCATTACAGGTTGTTCCAAGCGGCAAAAAGAAAGTCTATTTCACATCTCCGTCTTCTATGACACAGAAGGATACCGTTTCACATTGACTGATTATATCCCTCTGCAATTGTTCATAACTGTCCACAACAAAATGATTTCATTGGAAAATTCACATACCGGTAAAGAGGCGATGACGCATTTAGAATACATCTTGATTATTCAGTCGTTTACCATAGTGTGGAACAGTACCAGATATTAGCCATCACTTTATATTGTCTACTTCCATTCCCATCAACTTTCTGGCTCAAGGACTATTGCCATAAAGCAGAGAATTGTAGGGCTGATTATGAGTTAACAGTTACTGAGTTACTGTGCAGAAATCTTCTAAGAACTTGGGGAGCATAAAAGCCGGACAACAGCATTTCAGGGATATTCTATGAAACATTTAGTGAAAACCTTCTTGTCACTATGCCGTTTATTGAACGGCGTCCACTAACGTTGCGAATGGGAATCTCGCATAACGAGGTATATCTATCTCTGCTTCTCATACCGCTTTAGGGCGTCTTTCAAAGGTTCTAAAGATGGAGACGAGGTGAAACAAAAACACTATCATAAGACTGATTCATTTCCAGCTACAATACTACGGACGGTATCTTCTCTTATCATGGAAACAAGGTAATTCTTCATCGGTTTGCACTCTTTTATAGTACTTTTCGATTTCGTGCAACCAATCACTTAAACTGATTCATCGAGTGTTTTGATTCGACGACAAATGACACAGGGAGTGAGTAGACAGGGGGTAGAAAATAACACTAACAATTGTATGCATGCAAGCGTTCATGCACAAAACGGCCTTGATACTTCCTGCCCCTTTAACCAATCACGATGTTAAACGCACGATCACGTGATTCTTTGCGGACATTTCACATGCAGTGATTGGTTGTAACGGCCTTAAGGGAATTCTAGGCATATTTGTGAGTTATCTAACATGCATTGATTCACTGCATAACAGAAACAACAGAAATCTGGCTAGGCAACAATTGCCATGGGATTTGCATTGTCAAGTGTGCTCTACTCACTTGTAGATTAGAGTTTTATGCGAAAGGCTGATGATTATCTTATGCATTTTCGAACCAAGCAACTTAATAGCTGAATACAATTTTGCACAGTAGACAATGAATCACGTTTATTGTGTGAGAGTTAGTGATACTGCCTAGTTACTGGGTTTGAACCCGAGAAAGGTTAATTATAAACTAAGCGCCTAGCATAGCATTCGCCTGAGATATACGAAAGAAGTGTCATTCTCCCTAGTCTCCACATCAAAGGTGATATGTTGACATTGAGCAATTAAGGAATCAATAAATTCATGACATAGTTCAGTAAAAAGAACAATATTCATCCACCTACTGCTGCTTAGCTCACTGCAACACTCAGTCGTAAACATTATTCAGTTCCATAGCTGAAAACGTTGCCAAATATGATGTAGCGATCTATAGTTCCATATCGTTTATTGCATTGAATCCGTCTGCCACTAGTGAAATATTGACTTCGATTTGAATGCCTCGATATTACTGAGTAACTCCAGCTTGATGCTGATAATGGATAGTGGCCGGTAGTCAAGTCCAGGATATGCATAGTCACGTGGATAATACTGTGCTGGCTGCATATCTCACAGGGGAACAATACCAACTCACTGAGAGGAAGGTATGCACAGCTGAGGAGCCTCTAAATCCTACTGCTGCTATCTCTAAGCACCGCTGAAAGCTGACGGCTTTGATGCTTCTACTTCAGTTACGTTTTGTCTTGCAAAAGTCTTGAGCAGTCAAAACCAACTGGGCTGATCTGTGTAATTCACCAGACAGATCAAGGTGATCTAAGTACCAGACGACAGTTTCCCTTGTTTGGAGTCGAACTCATCAGCGATGTGCCCAGACAAACTCAACTCAGAAAACCGGATTACTTGAATCTGTCCAGCTAACTAACTTGCATAGCCTAAAATAGAATGATTAGTTTGCAAATGATTTACAAATTGCACGCGCCATGTTGACTTTTCTCACATCTGACTAATTTTCCAACTGTCCAACTGGTACCCCCCAGTAGGTGGCACTGTTGGCCTCGTGAAGAGTCGAGTAGCGTGTTGTCAGGTCTCGCGACTACTGCGTCACTGCTTAGTTAGTGGACTAGAACCCAATGACCCACTATTTCATACTTCTATCAATTTCTGGTGTACTGCATAACCAATATTCAACATCACTCCCAGCCTGGAGTAACAGCTTTACCTTAGAATCAATATAATGCGAGTTGAGGCTTTTTCGTTCATCTGTATTTTTTCTGTGAAAGAATCCATAAATCTCGGGATGCAGAGATGATCATATTTTTTTCACCAATCTCCTTTCTACTTCTAAAAATATAATAATTTATTATAGCCAAATAATTTCTGGTAATATGAAAATAAGAAATCAGAAATGAGTAATTTTCATATCCTCTTGCCATGTCTATCCATGTCCATTTCAGCAATAATACACACCTACTTATTTGGCTTAGACAAATTCTCACCATACTTCTATCCATATCTTCATCATGATTGGCCAACTCTACGAAAAATCCTATTGGCTAATTAATAAACAGCTTTTCAGCTTTTGATTGGCTGATTAACTGATTAGTTTAGTTAACCAAAATTTTTTTAGAGAATTACGCCAAATATCATCAGTTGATAAACATTCAACTGTATACAAGTTGACACTAACATATATTAACAATTGATCAGTATAATTCATTTAATTACAAATGAAATAGAAGGTAATTCACTGCTTAATACCATTCCCTATAACAATATGAATACTCATGTTACTCAACCATTACAAATAGATGAATGTAATCAGCATGATACTAACAATAATATGAATAATGACAGTATTATTTCAGAAGATCTGTATAATCTTATCTCTTCAAATGAATTATCATTGAATATGTTACAAAATATCGGTAGTAATCTTTCAAGTCATCATAATATATCCAGTATAAATTCTGATTTCAGTCAGCTAGTTATGTCCAACTGGAGATTATTTAGTGAACAATACAAATCAATGATAATGAAAATATTGTCTAATTATACTATTCATTCTTCAATCAATTGTATACATGAAAATGTAAATCATCAATTATCTACTTCATCAGATTATTATCAATTGAATTCGATACCAGTGAATACTTCAACTTATCAGAATTGGTCATCTCAACCGTGTACATTGAACAATGATATATATACAATAAATAAACATGATACTAAAATTAACAATACAAACATTCATATATCATCACAACATAATATAGAAAGAAAATCTAATCATATAAATATAGATCATATGATGAAAATATTACCGGTTAATAATTCATGTGTATTCTCATCAAAACCACCATATTCTTATATAGCACTAATTGCTATGGCAATTAAATATGCACCAGGACAAAAAATCACTTTAAATGGTGAGTAGTTTTTATTTATTTCAATAAAATTTTAATTTTTATATTCATTCTAATTATATCAATGAAGATAAATAGAATATTTAATTTTGAGAAAAACTTTAGGGGATATATAAAATCATCAATAAAGTTTATGATTTCTCTCTGAGTAATTATAGTCAACATTTTTAAAACAAATAGAAACGGAAAAGCAAGACAGGTGTTCATTAACCTGAAACCAGTGTGGAGATCTTCTGCACTCAGCATGCGGAACAAGATACGGATGTTCAACACCAATGCCAGTCAAGTCAGTGCTTCTGTATGGTTCAGAGACTTGGCGCGTTACGAAAGGCATTTCCAATAAACTACAGACATTCATCAATAACTGCCACCTACACTGGCTCGCTACTGAAGATCAGATGGCCAGAATAATAAGAATAAGCAACAAGGAACTCTGGGAACGAACCAACCAACAACCTATCACGCAACAAATATGCAGGAGGAAGTGGAGATGGATTGAGCATACACTGAGAAGGCCGACTGAGGACATCACGCGTCAGGCCAGTCACTCGAGTGGAATCCCCATGGGAAGCGACCAGTTGGACCTGCGAGGCGAGGGTGACATGGAGGAGGTCGTGCGAGGAGGAAATGAGAGGTTGTGGGCTGTCGTGGAACCAGGTTCAAAAGATTTCAGAGAACAGAGTGGAATGGAGACGTGCTACTGAAGCCCTATGTTCCACTAGGAACCCAAGGGACTAATAATAATAATAATTTTTAGGCAAATCTTATCCTGAAGGAAAGTCACTGATGGGCAGAATAATTTTCCAGTGACCATAAGTATCTTTATAGCATTACTCGATCATATATGCAATAGTGAGATCAAGCTAAGAGTACTAGGCAACCAAGGAAAATCGGTTGCTAACCTTCATCGGTGAAGTTGGATTAGGTTGGAAGAATGTTTGACGGTGGCCAGACTAAGAAGTGGTATGAATGTATGAGATATGGATAACTTGGGTGCGAACCCCAAGACGATAGAAATCAGTGATGAAATGACTGGAAATCGATCAAAATGGTGCAAATGTATTCACTCACTGATATCTTCTGCAACTTAAATATTCTCACTAACCGTTATCTTCAAATTGTTTACTCTGTCTGTCTGCCTAGCTGGCTGGCAATCTGTTCCGTTGAATAATACGAGTTGGAATCAGGTGTGCAACCATAGGGGCAGAAAAATAGACCAACGTAGGACCTGGCACATAGATACAATGGTCCCTGTTCCCGCACTTTGTGGCTGTATGCAAAGAAACAGCAAGTGGGAAATGAATCAGTCTCCTAGAGTCTCCAACTACTGCATCGCCGCACATGGCTCAAACCAACATTCATACATTGATGCCATGTTTCAGTCTGGTCACCCCGAAACCTTTTCCCAATTGGAACCTACTTCGAACAACATTGAGTGACAAGGCTATCGGTGACTAGGCACACCTAACACTTCTCCCAACCATCTCAATCGATGAAGGTTCACAACCATGTCAACCGACTTACCTCTTCTCCCGAAAACTCTACACCTGAGCCGGACTTCTGCATTACTCACATGGTGACACCACGCAATACGACGTAGACTATGAAGGCAACAGTGGTCAAACACCTGGAGCCAGCCATCTCATGTCTTCCACCTTCAATAGTCATATTTCACAGGCATAGAGTAGAACAGAGTGGACTGGTGTGGAGTACACGCCACCCTTAATAGACAAACGGATATCACGGTGGCGCCATAGGTTAGGTAAGTTGGTGAAAGCCAGTGGAGCCTTTTGTATCTGTGCAGAGATTTCATCGGTCACTGAGCCATCAGGGCTGATCCTACTTTCTAGATAAGTGAAGTGGTCGACACACTCAAACACTACACTCTCCATTGTTAGCCGCAGTGGGGCACCGTTGAAAACCAATCATGGAGCAACAATTTGCATATGGGTGGTGAGAAACGCATCCCAATCATTCTCAAATTGCCAGTCAAAGTGTTCAGAAGACTCTGAATCTTGTCAGTGTCTTCACCTAAGAGGACTGACTATGTGATCTGCATATTCTAGGTCTAATGAAAATTCTCCTATGAATATGTCAACGTTTGTGTAATCAGGTGACAAGAGGGAGACCTCTATGAAAATATGTATGATAAAATTGAATAAGAATAGAGAGATTGTCTGTCGTTGACGGGCACTACTCAGCGAACACAGCTCCCCGGCTCTAGCACGCCCACAAGTGTTCAAGTAGAGAGCCTCATGGACTTATACCATATCTTGGTTCGGTGACCCTTGGCCTTCTGACTTACTCCTACTTCAGGTAACATTGTACGTCAAGAGAGACAGTCACTAGATATCTGTAACACATTTCTAAGCCACTTTGAGTGGCTTAGATGAACTGGTTAACTTAATTTAGAGCAAGTTAGGCTTAGTCTAGATACTGCCTACAGGGTCAGGCTACCACAAGCGAGAGACTGTAATTTATTCCTATCTTCTACTTTCGGTAGTCATGAACCTCTCAATCATACAGTAGGATAAAGTAATGCAGTAGAATCTTCCTTTAATTGGTAGGCGGACGTTTCACCGACAGTACAGACATTCATCAAATAACAGTATCCAATGAGTTTGCCTAATTACATTGATTGCTCACTGAAGAATAACTAATCTCATATTGTATAGTTCGCAATCCTGACCGAATTCTATCGGTCATTTTGCTCACTGTCTCAGTGCACTTTGATAGGTGTTAGTTGATTGGAGGTGATGGGCAGGAAGCCCTGAACTTAGGTTTCGTGCTTTTTAGCACTCATCAGCAAGGCATGGGACTCGAACCCACTTCGCTCAATGTTGTAGTGAACGACGTTACCAGTGAGCTCTTTATAGACTGATATCAGTTCATATTTAGGTTGACTGACCGCTTAAACCGCCAAATAAATTTAAACTTTCTTAGAATGAGATTGATCTTAAAAGTATTTTAATTTGATCGAACTGTGCGATGTCACACAAAAGAATTAAATAGAATATGAAATACATTGAGGTAGTATTCATCATGCACTTAAATCATTTAGAAAACCATTGAAAACCATCTAGAAGCACTGGACAGCAGCTGTTTCGTGCCAGTATACTACTCAGCAGTACAAATCCACAACCCGGTTGGGGGTCGAACTCCGGACCTTCAGGTTTCACGGTGAATACAGTAACCATCCATCCACTAGATCGGAGTTCTATGGTTCACACTTTCCAACTTCTGTCACTTCACGCTATAGCACGACTATCAAACAAGGTCTTGAGAAAAGCATGTCATTGGGAGGTAGAAAGCTAACAAGCAGCGCCACTGGCAAGCACATACTTGACACAGATCATGTCGGCTCAAAAATAGCTTTAAAGGTAATCAACAGACAAAGAAATAATAGATTGCTACGTTATACGGAAACAGCAACAATTCGTCGATTGAAACCAGTTGGAAGTGAAGCAGATACCATCTGAAGACCGTGGGTGCACCGTAGTTGCACCATATCATGAAATGACAGAAGTTGGAAAGTGTGAACCATTGAACCCCAACCCAGTGGATGAATGGTTAATGTGTTCACCGTGAAACCCGAAGGTCCTGAGTTCAACCCCGAGCCGGGTTGTGGATTCTTACTGCTGAGTCGTATACTGGGACGAAACAGCTGCTGTCCAGTTCTCCCAGATGGTTTTCAGTGGTTCGCTAGGTGATGGATACTACTTCAAAATTAAAATCCCCATTCATCTCAGAAATGTATATAATACATTGAAAACACATTTTCTAATTAATATCAATGAAAATCAATTATATTTCAACCAGTAATCATATATGATTTCATGTACTAGGTTGACTGCTATCAAACAGAACCAAATCGAACCAAGATACTCTCAGTCATCTTGTGTACATTCATGTAGTAGGCAGTATCCAATACCTGGCTAACAAGACCTTGACAAGTTGGTCGGGGTTCGAACCCACGGCCTACCCGCTGAATGTTAACTTATCAAATCAATTAGTCATAGCTGCATTGATGACCACTTAGATCAACGATAACGATAGTAATGGGATTTCTTACTTCAGTTTCTCAATCTGGTTGTAATAATACAACTCACCAATCATGTGGAGGACTATAGCCAACCTATTAGCCTTTCATGCAGTGTGAGGCTGTCAGAAACCCTGCAGAAGATTCAATCCGTCAACTGACTAGTTAAAGGTTCAGTACAATATCAAGCTAGGATCAACTCCAGTTGAACTCATTTAAACCAGTTATGTATAATAAGGTTTATTAGACTATGATTTACACACACACACACACACACGTACAATTCCCTCACACCGTGTTCACAAACGAAGGGGCTACAATAGGGAAGGGCAGACTGAAACAATTTTTCTAATGACAACGAATTCAATTCTTATGAAGTACAAAAGTTTTTGATTCCTTCAGACGGATAAAAATAGAGATTACACCAAGTAGTCGATATGTAGATCTCAGAGTTCTGATAAATGCCCATTATAGTTACTTGTTCATGATTAACAGATACCATCTCAGCTCGAAGAGTATTGCCACATAACTCGTTCAGATCACTTTTCAAAGACTACTCGAAAAAAGGACTCATCATCATCAATACAAACATAGAACCATACATTACTGCGTAACGGTCCAACTTCCCGCCACACCTCATATCACTACATCAAGTAAAAAGGCTGTGAGGTGATGAAGATGAAGATAAGAGAATGTAGTCAAAAGAAATGTAAAGAAGTGAAAGAGAGAAAGGAAGAATGACAAAATGGTGAGAAATGGCATGATGTTAAGATGAGGATAATGTGTGTAAACGTATGCGCCACTCACATCCGTTCTGCAACTACTGGTTCCTCTTGTCCCGCAGACCCCTACCACCTAGTCTGTATTGCGCTACATGGCTCAAACAAACAGTCAGAGACTTCATACATTGGTGACATGTTATAGTCTGGCCACCTCAGGCCTTTTTCCAACCCGAACCTACTTC